ATTATTATTTTTGTCTTTTTGAAGCAGGGTCTCCCTGTAGCCCCAGCTATCCTGGAACTCACTATGTAAACCAGTGTGGCCTTGAACTCACAGAGATCCACCAGCCTCTGCCTCCCAAGTGCTGGGACTACAGGTGTGCACCACCATGCCTGGCTTTTTATTTATTATTTTTAATTTTATGTGCATGACTGTATTGCCTGCATGTGCGTAAGTACACACATGTCATGCAATGCCTGCAGCCATCAGAAAAAGGCATCATATCCCCTGGAACTGGAGTTAGGAAGGTTGTTACCTGCCATGTGGGTGCTGGGAATTGAATCTGGGTCTTCTACAAAAGCAACCAGTGCTCTTACCTGCTGTGTCATCTCTTCAGCCCCTTAAATTTTATTTTGAGACAGTCACACTAATTTGGGCTAGCTTTGAACTACTTTGTAACACATGCAGGCCTTGAATGTGTGATCTTCCCAAGTAGCTAGGTTTTTACACCTGTACTACCAGGCCTGGTAAGCATCTTTAGACATGCATAATTTCAGCAACCCTCACTTACTTATCTTGAAACCTTACTTAATACTTATCTTGAAACCAAATGCTGCCCTAAGTTGGCTATTCAATGTGTATTATCTCCAGGGTTTACAGACACAACTCTGTGTTAAATGCCTCAAAGAGACAATGATGAACTGCTGAGAGGATGGAAGAGACACCTGCACACAAAGGCAAGCAGGAGGCCTTAGAGCTACCAGAGGAAGTGAGACCTGGCTTGGCTGAAAAGTACAGTAGACAGCTGCCCAGGAGAAAGCTGTGGTAGGACAGTGCTGGGAAGTGGGGGTGTTTAAGAGAAGTAGCAGAGGTTAAAACAGCCCTGGTCAAGTGGACCACATGGAAGAGTCTGGGCTTAAGAGGCTCATATACTAGACACTTGGGGTGGTACACACCTGTAAGTCTACTTCTCAGGGGGCTAAAGCAGGAGAATCTTGAGTTCCATGCTAGCCTGAACTAAATACCAAGTTCAAGGCCAGCCCATGTTACATTATTTTTTAAAATGTTTTATTTATTATTTTTATATTATGTGTATGAGTGCACCCATGTCATGCAATACCCATGGGGGTTAGAAGAGGGTGTAGGATCCCCTGGAACTGGAGTTAATGATAGTTGTTAGCTGTCATGTGGGTGCTGGGAATTGAACCCGGGTCCTCTGTAAAGCAGCCAGTGCTCTTAACCACTGAGCCTTCTCTCTAGCCCTTGTGTTACATTATTGATACTCTGCCTCAAAAATAAAAGGGCTGGGCCAGTGATATGGATCAGCAGTTGAAGGCATCTGCTGCCAAGTGTGGTGACCTGAGTTCAATCTCCAAGGCTCTCATGGTAGAAAGAACTGTGCTTTTACCTTCCTATGTGTGTTGCTGCAGGTTCTAGTGCACTAATGTGTATGTGCATACACACATACACTCACACACACACACGTGGACTTACACTGATAAGTAAATGTGATTAAAAAAATAAAAGGGCTGAGTATGTAGCTCTGTGGTAGAACACTTATCTGGAATAATATACACAAGACTCTGGGTTCAACCCCCAGCACCATAACCAAGTAAGTTAACAAAAGTCTGGAAACCATGAAAGGTTTTTATGCAGAAAAAAGGCACCACATAACTTGTATTTAGAAAGATTCCTCTGACTGCAGTGGAGAATTTTAGAGGAGACACGAAGTAGGGTGAACAGTTAAGGGAAAATGAGAAGGCTGGCTCTTTTGGAAAAGTTCAGGACAGAGACAAGTGGTAGATAAGGAGAAGGAAGTATCACAGAAAATAATCCAGGATTTCTGGCTTGACAGTTTAGTGATGCCATCTGTTGTTACTAAGATTAAAAACATAGGAACAGATCAAGGTTTGTGGTAAGAGACCCAGGTAGGGAGGCTTTGGGCATGATGACTATGCCACAGAAATAACTGATTAAAAAAAATATTACTATTTTTTTTTTTACATTTTGTGCATATGAGTGCTTATCTTGCATGTACAGAAGTGCACCACATGCATGCAATGCCTGTAGGGGCTAGGAGGGTATCAGATTCTCTAGAACTGCAGTTACAGTCAGTTGTGAGCCATCATATTGGTACTGAGAACTGAACCTCTGTAAGCATAGTGAGTGTTCTTAATTACTGAGTCATCTCTCCAGCCCCAACTACATTTTTTTTAAAAGACAAGGAATTGGTCCATTGCCTAGACTGGTCCTGAACTCAAGGTCCATCCTGAGTGCTGGGACATAGGCATGTGCCACTATATTGCTGATATATCTTTTAAAATATTATTTTTTATTATTTTGAAATTTTTATACATTTATATATTGTAGTTTGATGATACTCACCCACCACTACCAATTCTTCCAATTCCTCCTAGTGTACCCTACCCTACAGAGTTGTCATTTAAAAAATTATTTTCATTTTTTGTGTCTAGATGTTTTGCCTGTATGTATAAGTGCACCATGTGCATACAATGTCCATGGAAGCCAGAAGAGGGTGTCAGATTCCCTGGACCTGGAGTTACAGGTGGTTGTTAGCTGCCATGTGGGTACTGGGAACTGAACCTGGGTCCTCTGAAAGAGTACCCAGTGCTCTTAACTGCTGAGCCATCTCTCCAGTCCCTTTATTATTAAAAAAAGATTTACTTTATGTATATGAATGCTGTGCCTGCATGTATGTAGGTGCACCATGTTTGTGCCTGGTACCTGTTGAGGCCATAAGAGGGAGTTGGATCCCTTGGAAATGGTTTTACAGACTGTTGTGACCTGCCATGCATATGCTGGGAACTAAACCCAGGTCTTTTGCAAGAGCAGTGAGTGCTCTTAACCACTGAGCCATCTCTCCAGCTCTAGTTATCATTCTTTTAAAAAAAATTTAATTATTTTTATCTTATGTGTATGCATGTACTGCCTGCATGTAGGTAAGTGCATTTGTGTTGTGTAATGCCTGCGGAGGTCAGAAGAGGCTGTTGGATCCCCTGGGACTGGAGTTAGGACAATTGTTAGCTGCCATGTGGGTGCTGGGATTTGAACCCGGGTCTTCTGCAAGAACAACAAGTGTTCTTACCCGCCGAGCCATCTCTCCAGCCCCACAGTTATCATTTAAAAAAAAAATTATCTATATTATTTTATGTTTATGTGTGTGTATGTATGTGTTTACGTGTGTCTGAGTATATGTATGAGCACCATATGTGTGCATGTATCCTTGGAGGCTAGAAGAGGGTGTCAGATTCCCTAGAGCTAGAGTTACAGGCAGTTGTGAGTTATGTGATGTGCGTCCTGGAAACTGAATTCGGGTTCTTGGAAAAAGCAGTAAGTACTCTTAACTGCTAAACCATATCTCTAGCCTCCTGGGTTATCGTTCTTGGATGGAGATTATTTTAACAAAATTTTTAACTTCTGCAAGTCACACAACCATTGGTTCCCCAGCAAAACTTGGTTTGACACTAGAACCTTAAAAGGGAATAAGCATTGCTTAGTATCCCCAGGAAAAGAATTTTCACAACAGATGGAAAATTTGTTAATGTTATTATGTCTCATAATTAATAAAAAAAGAAAATGAGAATGTAAAAGATGCTAAAAGGAGATGGGAATGGTGATATTTTCCAAAACAGGCAGAAAAAATGAGAAAGCCTAAGCAAGTGATAAAGGTCTGTGTAGGCTTGTTATGATATATAAAGGATGACAAACATAATATACACATAATCTTAAAATTTCTAAGGTCATAGTTTCGTCAACTAGTTTAATGAACAAAATATATATCTAGTCAAGGTTTATCTGAGAACATTTGGTTGTTTAGCTAAACTTTATCTACATAGCACATGGTAATTAAAAGTACTACACTGGTGGAACTAACCTTATTATTGGATGTTTAACAGCCATACTTCGAGGCCTATACTAATATGGTCAGAGGGACTTAAAGGACAGTCTTTTGCCCCTTGCCCTCCAAGGTCAACTAAGTTCGAGGGGACAATGGAACATCTCTCAAAATGTCCTGTAACTGTGGTGAGTCATCTGTCCTCTTGTTCAGGGAGGACATGGAAACCCCACCAGATGGACTTGAACCAGTGTCCAGTCTAAAAGAGGAGGATCAACGCAGAGAAACATTTCCTCCATGCTTCCAAGAAAAGTCAGCCATGGTTGAGCAGGACCTTTGACTTATCTTCGCATAGATGGAACTGGTAAAAGAAAGGAGCCAGGGGCTCCTCCCAAGCCCATGTGACCCCTGAGGAACAGATCCTCAAACGACCTTAAGTGTAAAAATAAATTGATTTATTTGGGCAACTGTATGGCCTTAAACACCCAAAAGGAAAGTATAACCAAAGAGTAAAGTCATCAGTATATGTCTTTAAGAGTTCAAGGGATTACACTTCCCAGATTTTAGGCTTAAGCCTATATAAAAAGTTATTTAGACAATTATTTCTCATTGATGATTTTGTTCAGAATCAGAAAGTGCTGCTCAGATGTAAGACTTCATATCTTGGTCTGCAATACTGTAGTGCTCACCTGTAACTAAGGGAGATAACCTGCTATTGTTCTAAAATACTGGCTAAATTTGTTTTCTCCCCTTATCTAGACACCTTTGAGAAGGAACTGACACTGATTCTAACAACTCCAACAGATATCAGAGTGCCTGAAAGCAAATCCTGAATCCATCTCTCTACAGCCTTGGCAGACAAAAGAAAAATGAGGAGGAATCCAATAGAGAGATGCTTTTGGAAACTCTCATCAAGAAATTCCAATGGACTCTGATATGAACATTTAGAATTTGTCCTGTTCTGACTTTTTTCTGGTTCCCTGTCTAAAACTTGTAATGCTAACTACTCTTGCCTTTACTCCACCTTCACATCTCCTACTTTCTTTTCTCCCTACAGATAAGAGTTGTGCAATTTGGGAGTCTTTTAGATAGACCCACTGAAGGGGTACCGCAATTGCCTTACCCTGAGTCCCTGTTCAGCATGGAAGAAGCCAGAGAAGTCTGCATCCTGATTCCCTAAGGGCTTTTGGAAACTCTCATCAAGAAATTCCAATGGACTCTGATATGAACATTTAGAATTTGTCCTGTTCTGACTTTTTTCTGGTTCCCTGTCTAAAACTTGTAATGCTAACTACTCTTGCCTTTACTCCACCTTCACATCTCCTGCCCCAAAGAAAAGTAACCAGTTTCTTGGTTAAAAGTCAAAATATCCTTGGGCCTCTTAGCAACAGACTCCGTTCCAAAGGCCAAAATTGTCAAAAGTATTAGGGAGCTCTTATCCTTAATAGATTTTAGGGTTACCTCTTCAGAGGGGGGAATGTTAGAGTAGCAAAAAGCCCCATTAAAAAAAAAAAAAGAATAAAGAGTACGTGAAATTATCAGAAAAAGCGATTGGGAGATATAGGAGGAGTTGGAAGGGAGGGAGTGGCTGTGGATTTGATCAAAACACCTTATATGCATGTATGAAATTCTCAATAAATTATTTTTTAAAAAGTCACAAAACCTATACATATACCCAGAACAGACAACAATTCAGGTAAATTCTTTTTTTTGTCATTTAAATTTTTATTAAATATACTCTCTTGGCACAAATCTTTAAAATATATAAATATTATATATAAACAAAATGTCTTCATGGCATCAAAATAGAACTCCAGACCAGAACAGTGACTGAGGGGAGGGCAGCCACAAGGCTGAGAGCCTACCTGGGCCAGAGATACCAAGGAGGCATGTCCAGGGGGACCAAGAAGACCACGGGCCTATGACACCCTTACCTCTCAAGCCTAGTCCATGGCCCAATGCAAGGTGCTGCCCAACCATCCAAATGATGCCACTTGCTGCGGTGGCCCAGGAGCTCAGGCAAATTCTTGAGAATATTCCTACGAAGTGCTTTGGCCACTTGCTAAGAACTGAGCAGATGGTAAATTAAGTGGTCTCTTATGAACTATGCTTTCAAGGATTAAGAACAAAGATGACTTACCTGTATTCTGGTGTTTGTTGTGTTTTGAATTTCTCTTATTTTTAACCCACCACGACCTATTTAAAAACAAAGGAATATGTAAGTTGAAATCAATAAAAAGGGCTTATGTCCCTTCCTCAGAGGACTTTGTGTAGTTCTTCTCTAAATCATTCAAAGAAAGGCTCTTAGGGTGCAGTAAACTTCTGTTTATAAGGAGGGAAAACATTTCCATTCCAGATTTGTGTGGTTGGTAGGAGGCTTCTTTCCCAAAGATGGAGAGTAAGGATTCTATATGAGCACTAGAAAAACTGGATCCCAACTGTATTAGAGGGGATGTGAAGAAATTAGAACCACTGCTAACAATATGAAATCCATTTTTTTTTTCCATTTTGGTTTGCTTTTTTGTTATAGTATCCCACATAGGAGTCTAGGCTGGAACTCACAATGAATCCCAATCTGGACTTAAATTCATAGTAACTCTGCCTCTGCCTTCCAAGTGGTGGGATTTCAGGTACTGAGTAACCACATCTGTCTAAATAATTCAATTAAAAAATTATATTTGTCATTAATACTGTACTGTATACTTAAAAATGAGTTGGGGATGGTGTGATGGTTTGATTAAATGTCTCCCATAGGGGCCAAGTATTTGAACACTTAGTCCCCAGTTTGTGGCACTGTTTGGGCAGGGTGATGGAACCCTTAGGTGTGGCCATTCTGAAGAGAGCACATCACTGTGGGTGGGTTTTGAGATATAGCCATGCCCACTTCCAGTTTCTCTCTCTTCTTCTTGCGCCTTCTTGAAGATGTCAGTTCTCAGCTTTCTGTTCCTGTCACCTCTGCCACCGTGTCTCTCCTACCATGATGGACTCTTGCTCTTCTGGAACCATAAGCCAAATAAACTCTTCCTTCTATAAGTTGCCTTGGTCATGGCATTTTACCACAGTAACAGAAAAGTAACTAATACAGACTTGGTATTGGAGACTGGGCTGTTACTGTGAAGAACCTGACCACATGGGTTTTTGGAGAAATGTGGAAGCCTTTGGAAGTTTGGAATGAAAAGTGGTTGAATGTTCTAACCAGAGCTTGATGAGTCATCCTAGTAGGATCCTGGAAGAAAGAAGTGCTCAAAATAATGTAGTTCCAGAGAGAAAAAAGGAGTTAAACAGAAACAGACACTTTGGCAAAGTACCTGACTTCTGTCTGCCCACAGCCTATGAGCTTACTTGAGACTAAGTTGAAAAGTAATGGGATAATTCCTTTGGTGAGGTAAATTTAGAGATAGCCTAACATAGAAATGGTGGACTGGTTATTAATAGTGAATATTATAGTTATCTACAATGAAAAAGGTCAAGTACACAGAATGTACAGTGTAGTGAGAAAGAGGGCACTAGGAAGCCTGGAGCCAAGACCTGTGCTGAAGGAGAGGCTCTCTCTGATAAGGAAATTGAGCCATTAAGGAGAAGCCTCCAGATTTACACTTGAACAATGGAAAGAGTACCTCAGGGCAAGGTGAAAGGAAAAGGTCTAAAGTTTCCTGTTCCTAGAAAACTGTGAAATATGAAAGTAGCCGCTCATAATACGGATATATGAGGTCCATCCCAAGCTGGCAGCCCAACTTGGCAGTGTGCTGGCTTTAGAGGCATTCCAAGTAAGCAGCTTCTTCTTCCATGGTTTCAGAAAGCTGTGGAGTTCAGGCAGCATGCAGTAGGGGAGTCCCTGCTTAAAAGAAAGTCCTGGCAAGCCAAGAGGCTCTGAGAAACCATTGTGTAAAGCTGTGAAAGGTGAAGCCTGGTTGGTAGTGGAGCCCCCAGAATTGTTGGAGATGCCACGTTATAAAACATCTGCTTGCTTACAGGGAGTGGTACTAGTCCAAGAGAAAAATGTTATATTGCATGCAGCAAAGCTAGAGGGGCTGAGCCATCTAAGCCCTTTAGAGCTAAAGTCCCACACACTGGACATGGAACAACTGGATTTTGTGTTTACCCTGATGGTTTTCCATCTTGCTTTGGTTGGATAGCGCCTCAATTTGTTTCCATTCTTTCCTTTTGGAATGGGAATGTGTTTTTGGTTCTATTGTGTTGTAAGTACATAATTTGTCTTTTGATTTTACAGAGGTTTACGGTTAAGAGACTGCCTTGAAACTCAGGAGACTTTGGACATTGGACTTTTTTGTTGATCTTTTTGTGAAACAGTCTCCCTGCACAGCTGGCCTGAGAACTAACTATGCAGACCAGGCTGGCCTCAATCTCATAGAGATCCACTGGTCTCTACCTCTCAAGTGCTGGGATTAAAGGCATGCACCACCATGCCTGACTCTGGACACTGGGCTTTTAAATAATGTTGAGACTGTTAAGGACTATGAGACAAATGCATTTTGCATTGTGTTATGATCATGAACCTATGGGGGTCAGGGAGCAGAATGTGATTGTTCGTATAAGTGGCCCCCATAGATGTCAAGTATTCGGACACGTGGTCCCCAGTTCATGGTTAGTGAAGGGTCATGGAACCTTTGGAGGTGGGGCCATGCTGGAGAAAGCATATCACTGGGGGGTAGGCTTTGAGAGCACATAGCCATGTCCACTTCCAGTCTGCCTCTCTCTGCTTCCTGTGCCTGCTTGAAGATTTAAGTTCTCAGCCTTTTGCTCCAGTCACCTCTGCTGACATGCCTACCTGTCATGATGGACTCTTGTACCTCTGTAACTATAAGCTAAATAGACTCTTCTATGAGTTGCCTAGGTCATGGTGTTTTATCACAAAAATAGAAAAGTAACTAACACAGCTAGGTAGTAGAGTTAGGGGTAGAACATATACTAACCTTTATTAATAACTGGGTTCAAAACTGAGTACCAAAATGAAGGGAGTGCAGGAAGAAGGAAAAAAGGGGAAGGGAAAGGGAGAAAAATAGAGAGGAAAATGAGATTGTTATTATTTTAACACATACAAACCATATTGGTTCTTGTAGCTCAGTAGTAGAGTCTGCAAATCCAAATGTAGCTATTTGAGTGGCCTGGGCTTAATATCCAAATCTAATTAATAAGCATGCACATGTAAGATCAGGTGGGTGTGTAACAATGAGTGCAGTTCGTGCTGCTTGCTGAGGGCTGATTTATGTTGCAAACCTATCTGTTCTCTGCTGGAGCATCCCTCTTCAGATCTTAGAAAGCCTGAGTCATTTTAGAAGAAATGAATCTACTATTAGTCTTAAAATGATGATAAAAATACCCCATAAACCTGTTCATTTTCTTATAATAGGTCTTTTATAAATATTTTATTATTTTTGTTTTATGTGTATGAAGTGTATCGCCTGCAAGTATATAAGTGCAGCTATGTCTTGCAATGCCCGCGGGGGTCATAAGTGGGCGTTATATTCCCGTTGGAGTTATGGACGGTTGTTAGCCACCATGTGGGTGCTCGGAATCGAACTGGGTCCTCTCCAAGAGCAGTCAGTGCTCTTAACCGCTGAAAGATTTCTCCAGTCCCTCATAACAGGTCTTTGGAAGTTAAAAACGAAAACAACTCCATCACCCAATGGCAAAGCATTGTAATTTAAACTCAGACTAAATGGCAATAGGTATCTTCCCCATCACCGCAACTGCACCTTAATAACTTAAAGCTTGCACTGGGATCACTTCCCTTGCACCGCTTTCCTGCAGTTAAATGGACCTGGAGCTCAGCTGGGAGATGTGGATGGGGCTCTGCCCAGCCTCACACTAACCTGCACTTCTCTGCTCATGGCCCAGGAGGGGTGTTCACAGGAACACCTACTTCCAGCCCGCTGTGCTGCTCAGGGGTGGAGACCCGAGCGCCCTCTGCTTCCTCCCTCTCTTGCGGACAGCGGGGGTCTCGCAGGCCCCGCGTCCCGCACAGCCTGTGTGGAAGGACGGAGCTGCAGCACCCGGCGGCCACCACGCCGCCCTGGCGGGGGACCCGGGACAGCCCGGCCGCCCCCTCCCGCGCCGCCCACGCCTTGCTCTGCGCTGGGCTCTCACCTATCACCGCGCCCACCACGTCGTTCTTCACCCCGAAGCAGAGCGGCGGTTCCCCGCGGCCTCCGGCCGTGGCCTCGGTGGCGCCCGCCGGCTCTCTCCAGCTGCCGCCGCCCGGCCTGCCGCCTCCCCGACCTCTTCGACTCGGCTCCTCCTCCGGTGTCCGCTCTGCGCCGGGCGACCCCGTCGAGCTTCGCCGGGGAGCAACGACCCAGGAGGAAGCGTTGGCTGCGGCTTCTCGCCCAGACATGGTTCTGAGGAGACACGTGCTTCGCACTTCGTTCTGGCCTCTGCACCACAGATCCCGCCTTGAGAAGTTCCGCCTTCCTAATGCACGCATGCGCAGTTGTGGCCCGCGCACTGGTCCCCCGTGCGCTGATTGGATGGCGGGCGATGTGGACCGGATCTTTCCAGCTTGGTCAATCGGCACTTCGCCTGGGGACTAGAGTCCTGGAGCTGGCGCTCCTTTCTAGGGCCGGCTCCTCCCCAGCTCCTGGTTTGTGCCTGGAGTGAGGCTCGTCTCTGGGCCTCGGAATTCGGGGTGACGCGTGGGTGCTGCTGCTGCAGGCCTGAAGTCCCAGCTCCTGAGCCGGCCGAGGCAGGAGGGTCCTGGGCCGCAGAACGAACTGAAGGTCAGTCAGCCCAGCTTGCTAAGGCCTCTGGAAACGGAAAAGAAATGAATAAAACAGCGAGGGAACAACTGAGAGGTGGCCTAGGGAAGGAGACCTGGCGTGCAATCCCCAGACATAAAATAACTAAACAGAACTGGATCGACACCTGAATTCTCCCCTCAAGGCAACCTGCTTCTGTTGTATGATGGACCTGTCGACGTCTGGGCCAAACTTGAGTGTCCCTGCTTCGACTGAGAGCTCAGATTTGTCTTAAAAAATTTCGATCATAGGGAGGCTACAGGTTTTTTGAGGGTGGGTTGTATGATGTGTCTGTATTGGAGTGTGTGTCACAGTACATGTGTGGATGTCACAGGGCAACTTTAGGAAGTCAGTTCTTTGCTTCCACCTTTGTGTGGGTTCCTGGGCTAGAACTTGGGTCTCAGGGTTTGAGCTACAAGGATCTTTTCAGACAGGGTATCTCTCTAGTACAGGCTATAGAGTTTTGCATGTTAATTTTATATCTGGCCACTTTCCTGAAAGGGTTTATTAGTTTTACAATATTATCTGGTGTAGTCTTCAGGGTCGCCTATGCATAGACGCCTATCATTTGCAATTACAAATACTTTGATTTCTATTCATATTGTTTTTATTGCTTGTCTTATTGATTTAGCTAAGATTTCCAGTACTATATTGAATAAGAGTCAAGAAAGTGGGCACCTTGACTTGTTCCAGATTTAAGTGGAAATGCTTTGCGTTTTTCTCCCACTTAATATAACATTTGCTATATGTAGTTTTAAAGAACTCCTAAACTGCCCTCTGCATCTTTGCTGATTAACGAAGAACCCTGAGACAAGGCCAAAGCTAATCCTAAGAGACCAGATCCCTCTGCATACACTAGGTCAGAGGCTCCTAGATAGACCTTCAGCCTCTAACCTCCCTTCACTCATGTGACCTCACCTCAGTCTAAGGCTGAGGAACACAGGGTGGAAGTGAGCTCAGAGTTACACACTGTGCCCTGTGTCCTTGTCCTCACCGTTCCCACTCAGCATCCCAGGTAGAGAAGCTGTACCCTAACGGAACAGACCTGGATGCAGTTACTTACCCAGATTTTCAGCATTTGATATGCTTTGTGGTTCCCATTCCTCAACTTCTTTAAGTCAATAGAGTGGCTCACCTTTTGTGCCCACAGCAGATGAAGCCACACTGGACCTCACAAGATGTACCCCAGCTTTCCTGTGGCGCACAGACTTCCCAGGACACTGTCTAATGAAATGACCCACCTCAACAGCCACCTGTCATCCACTCTCAGCTCACTCCTTAAGGTGGGACTAAGGAGGGAACAGAGGACCATGGAGGCACTGCAGTAAGTTCCAAAAGTCCAGAGAGAGAGAGAGAGAGAGAGAGAGAGAGAAAGAATATGAGAGAATAAGAGAATATGAATATCAAGCATCAGTGGGCCGTTTCCTCCATGTTGTGTCTGTGAGGTTTGAGATTTGTGCCCCATCCATGATTCTGTCACAAGTCAGTATCCAAAATGATCACAGCATTTCATGGGCACAGTTCATAGGAGAGCTACCACTAATCACAACCAAAGAGGTGGAGGATTGGCAGTGACCCAGGCAGGAAGGAGCTGGTGTTCTGGGAAAGGTCATCTTTAAATGACAGACCCAAATCAAAGCTACTAGTACAAGCCCACCATTGTGCCTTTGAAGGAGGAAACCACCCAAACTTCCAGGCATAGCTCCTGTCCTCACTAATCCCTTCCCATTCCCTGCCTCCCAAGTAGAAGGTGCAATCTTTGTGTCCTGGGATTTCCTCCCTTTTATCCACCACTTGGCCTCTTCACCAGTGCTGGTTATGCTGCTAATCTCCCAGGCACCAGCTTGTGAGATATCTGGAAAAAAGTCAGTGGAGATTCTACTGTTCCTGCGTACACTAGGTGGTGAGGCCAAACAAGCTCCCCCAAGATCCACCTCAGCTTTTCTTGTGTCCCAGAATTTCCACACAGCCAGTGAGGCAGAGTCATTTCCTCTCCTAGAACCTCCAACCCTCCTTCCCAACATGAACCCAGAGATGCCCAAGGATAAAACCTAAGATATTTCCTCAACAAGGGAGGAATTTGAAATAGGCACAACTGCCCCATTTGTTGGGATTTTCCTGCAGTTACAGAAAAGAAAAGGCTGTGACGATCAGGCCATTCTGTACACTTCACCAATGTCTGGTTTTCATGGATCACTTAGGAAACCAGACAGAGAACAGGGGTTTTCAGTGGTCACATTGCCCGAATCTATGGAAAATGACACTGGTGGAAAAGGAAAGAGCTTTTCCCGGAGAGTGTATTCTCAAGTCCATTTCCACTTGAAAAACAGAATCCATACTATCAGAACCAAATCTTTTCTGAGGGAAATGTTTCTAGGATTCAGTTATAATAATGTGGTGCTGCTCATTTTGCTACAGAGCCAGGGCTCCATTGGTAAGAGATTCCCACTGAACTCCAGCCCACCAAGGAGACTGCCATGTAAAGAACACAGCACACTGCCATAGAGCTGTATTTCTATAGACAACACGAAAAGGTGCTCTTACATTACATGATTCTCTCACAGGTTTGCCACCTGGGAAGTCTAGGAGGAAACAGAGTATCTGTCAGGATGTTGACAGCTGCTGAGTATAACTCACTCAGGGAGCTTTCGTAATGAGGTCATGAGTGTATGGAAGTGGATGGATGACAAGTATAGACTTGGCTGCTGCTGGGCTGCCTCCTGGATATTAAAGCTTTGTCCAGATTGGGGCTGGAGAGATGGCTTAGCGGTTAAGAGCACTGACTGGTCTTGTAGAGGACCTGGGTTTGATTCCCAGCACCCACATGGTGGCTACGAACTATCCTTACCTCCAGTTCCAGGAGAATCCGAAGCCCTTTTCTGACCTCTGTGGCACTGCACGACCTGGGTGCACTCACATACATGCAGGCAATATACTCATACACATAAAATAAAATATTGAATAAAATATTTTAAAGTTTTGTCCAGATGAATGTGGTTATTTTCTACATGTTACATAATGCATACTCTATTTATCAAAGACGGATGACAACAGGAAGAGGCACTGAGAAACTGAGTTCTTATTTACAGAGAACAGTGCACATTATGTGACGTGAGCCGTTGATCCATGCTATGCCCAAGCTCTGTACTATGATTCAGTGACAGAGTCTCACCATTGCTTCTGTCCATTTGAAACTCCAGTAAATTGCCAGTTTCTTTGGTAAAATTATTTATTTAATTTTGTTATTGTTTGAGTGCAAAAATGATGTGCATTATGTGGATATGTATGTGCCCCCAAGGGACATGTTGATGTCAGAGGACAAGTTTTGGTGTCAGATTCTCATTTCACCTTTATGTGGATTTCAGGGGTTCAACTTCAGTTATCAGTATTCAGTGGCAAGCGCTACTCACTGAGCAATCTCTTTTGGCTCACCACTATCTTTTAGTCATGCAAGGACACCTTTTGATCTGCCAATCTCGCTACTGCATTTAGCTATTCTACACAAATTCCACTTCATGAAAACAAATTTATATTTGGATCCTGAATTTAGTCTATCCAAAGCATTCCATTTGCTAATTGGCAGTTCCTTGGTCAGAAATATAACAGTCTACCAAAGCTTTGAAAAGAAAATCCTCAAAATAAGAGTGATTCTTCACTCTACTTTCCCTTCCGTTCTTCAGGTTCCCTGTTCTCTGTTTTTCTGTTGAGTGGCTGACTGTACAGGCCACACTAGCCTGTCACTATGTGGGAGTGGCATAGGTTGGGGCCTGATGCTCTTTAATTTGGGAGGTCAGGACAGTGCATCCCACTATGACAGCCATTACAACCACTCTGAGTGCTCATTTCTCATTCCTGTGGGGTTTTAACTGACGAATGTGAGCATGTTATTGCTCATGGTGACATTATCAAGAATACTAAAATATTTCACCCATTTTTATATTTGGGGCCAGCTTCTAGGACATGAATCCCAAACTTGCAGGGATGTGCCGTTTTGTCCTGCTTCTAACTCCAAAGATCTGTGAACTGACCAGAAACATCAAGGTATATTTGAGCTTCTCACTCCAGTGACTGATCCCACATCTGTGGAAATCCTTATTACATCTGTGAATAATGGGACAGTGGAGGCTACCTTCAGGAGAAAAACGGCATCTATGATTTTTAGACTGGGATACTTCAGGATAATACAGGAATACTAATCCCAGAGGTCTGAGGCTAGTATTCCATGATAATCATGAGTTCATTTCAGAATCTGAGCAACAGCATTGGCACACACATATGAGTTTATGTTTTCAAATTTTCCACATTCAAATTTGAGATCTGAGAGCCTTCATTTGGGTCCTGGAACAGGGGTGATAACAAACCATCACCAGAGACATAGGTAGAAAACAGTGAATGGGTTAATGCATATAAATTTATGTAAAGCATGAGTGACAGATCTGATAAAGTGAGTGTGATTGTGCTGTGAGTGTACAATATCTCCTGAAAACACATGTACCCTCACACAGAATCACATCCATTCACAGTCACAATCACAGAAAGACACAGGAGCTCAGTGTTCTTCAAGGACACAACTACACATACAGTCAAGGTGACTGCAATTTCTGCCAAGAATTGGAGAATCTTGACTCTTAAAATTTTACCCAGACAATCAACCCCTTTTTCAAAATATGTCCTATTCTTTCCCCCTGGAACACAGAATCAAATGTCCCTTCAAATGGCCAGAAAGGTTGCCACACCTATCAGCATTTATATTTTTCCTCACCAAGGAATTCTGCGTACTTACAGCTTTGATATTCTTCCCAGGGTGTCTGCAACTACAGAAAAAAAGACATTAGGAGGACTATGTTATGAAGCTTATTGACAAATACTTTCATTTCTCTTCCTCAGTATTTGGATACGAGAATCAATGGCAACGTGAAAGGCTCAAAAAACAAGAACAAGTTACATCCCTAGAAAATCCCTGGAAGATATATCCAACTCCCTTCAGGTCATCAATTACACAGTACTTAGTCCAAGGAAGAGACAGTGTTTCCAAGGAGTAAGAAGAGGCCTACCACATCCTGTGTACCCTGATGCTGCCGTTTGCAAATGCCCTTTTCATAAGATACTACTTTGTAAGGGTCTGCTCTTCCACCATTCTGGAAAAAATATTCAAGTATCTATAATGGGTGTAGTCATGTTTCCATTTCTTTTTAGACAGTGTGTCACTATGCAGCCCTGGCTGGGCTGGAAATCAGTCGGCTTGGAACTGATAGATTTTCCTGCCTTTACCTCCTTAATGCTGGTATTACAGATGTTTCTCACTATACCTGGATGGTACAGTCATGTTGTAACAGCCAAACTCAAGTTAAAAACAACATATTAGAGAGGACCCTTTCTATTTCAGGTAGAAAAACTAATCTTACCCACTCACAGGCTGCTAATTCCTGTTCCCTAATAAAAATGTCTTTTTCAGCAGAGGGTTCCTGAGCACCTAGGAAGACACTGTTAATCACTGGTCTGTGATTTCCTGAGAGAGCACTGCTTAACTTATTCAGCAGTATGGTTGTGCTCTAAAGCCTAGAGTGAGTCACTGCTGGGGCTTCCTCAGTGAAAGCAGACTAAATGAGGAGCAGGAAAGAAAAGGAAAACTGAGCACTTGACATGTTCATGGCAGAGGAAGACAACTAGAAACTGTCCTCACCTCCTACCAGTGCCCCGTTTCTCACAGTGATTGCTTTAAGCTCACGTAGTTGATGATTAAAAAAAAAACCTTGAATCAATATGATTTATAATTTATGCTGAGCATCTAATAGCAATTCTCAAGGATAATCTCATCCTCATAGAATATGGCTTATGCAGTGGTGTCACGCCACCTCCAGTGGAGCCCGCGTGAGGAATTCTCCATGGGTGGAGGCTGAGAAAACTTCAAAGGAAGAATGCCTCCTGGAGAATGGCTGTGTTAAAAAAGCATGCTGTGTCCTTGGCTCTTCTGCTTTAGTTCTTGTCTTCATTGCTGTCTTTATTCCTGTTCTTTCCTCATAGAGGAACTGCTTTGTACCTACTCAGGTCATTAGGCCCACCTGAAGAGAGACTAGATACGGATGTGAGACTTCCTCCAAATGCTCTTTTCTTGTTTTAAACAATAAGTAAAGTAGCTAAGAATAGGCAACTTTGAAGAATTCTAGATAAGTTACAGCAAGAAGAATTATTTGTGAGTAATCCCCCTACTTCAGTCCCTAGAGTTGACTCAAGGAGATCAAACGGATACTGAAAGAAGATTGCTGCCTACAGTTAAGACAGACTTAGGAATTGCCTACGAGTTAGGGAGAGGTAGGCTATGGCATCCCCTTAAGGGAAAGGAGAGCATATTTAGAATCCCTGAGCCCATTGATGAACCACTTCCTCATACAGGAGTTTATGAAAGAAATAACAGATGGGTAAATATTCAAGAATGGAAAGTTTCATGGTATTCACTATAGTTTATGGATAGGTTCGCTAGATCCAGACCACTTTGGTGCCTTTACTACAAGTCAGCAACAAAGTATACTTGAATAATTACAGGCAGTATAAGAAACATGGATAGAAAGAATAGGAAAATAGGGATTAGAGAAACAAGCCTTTGAAGTTATATGGAGTTATTATAACTTCACTGACCTAGTCATTGGCCTCGGCCACTGAAACCTCAAAATTGAGAAAACGGAACCATAAAATTACCAACCATGAAATTTATAAGTAGCTGATGTTGCCAAACCACTAAGGGAAAAGGACAAATAGTCTAAGCACCTGATTAATTAGATAAGAACACTCTACATTGTCCTGTATTGCTTTGATTTTGAATTGTATTTCTAAGAAAATGATTAACCATGAAATCAACCTGATGCCTGCACAATCTTGTCTTGTAACTTGTATAAAATCTGATGCTTCACTTTAGAAAATTACATTCAGATCATCAGTCATCTCTTGTGTTGTGTCTGTTTGTCACTCGCCGAATCCTTGCCCACTCTCCGATTCCCTGTTCCCGTCGGACTGAGTGCTCCGGTCTGGGCTGGTCCATCACAGTGGCATCATCAGTATGAGAAAATAAAGATTGCTTGTACAGTACATCTTACTTAGGTACCTTGGGATTCTGGACATTAACCAAAGCTTCCAGTAATACAGGAGGCATTTATTCAAGAGGGAAACAACTGTACGTCATTTTAACCTCTCCTAACACCATCCTGCCTGTACAAGTTGGTGCTTTTACCCAAGGGAGCAGTCACATGGGGAAAGGAAAATCTTGAAGGCATGAGCATATTAGCAAGACTGGGATAGATTTCCTTCCAAGACTCTTCCCAGGAAAACTGTCAGAATAGTATCTGAGAGATCTTCATTATAAATGTTTGTGTTTTTTGAAGGGTTTTACCCTTTACCCTAACCTTGAGAAAAAAATCATTTTCCCCAGAGGCTAGAACAGTGGCATTCAGTGTTTTCTTTGTGGTTTACTGAGGTGATAGATATTCCATAAAACATCAAAATAGAATAGGCTTGGTGGATGTGATTTACATGGTCCCTTTGTAGTTTTGGGAATATAAAACCATACTGATGTGTAGGACAATTTACATAATCAGTGCTCTGAGCACAAAGACTTGGGACCAGGCTCTCCTCAACTATTAAGTTAACTCTAAGGTAGAAAGCTAACCTCTCCTGCTATGTTGAAGCTACTTCCCAACACATGCATAGAGTGCCATGACAGTGGTCTGATCATGAGCTCAGACATACACATTAGCCACATTACCCACAATTGACAGAGAATAGTAACTATGGAATTTCTTCAGCAAATACAGTAAAGCAGCAAAAACAGGAGGGCTGGAGGGATGGCTCAGCAGTCAAGAGCACTGGGCACTCTTCCAGAGGATCGTGGTGAAGTTTGAAATACCCACATGGCAGCTAACACCTGTCCTTAACTCCAGTTCCGGGGGATTTGATGCCTTCTACTTGCCTCCATGGGCATGAGGGACCCACACGATGCACTTATATATCTGCAGGCAAAGCACTCACACACATAAAGAATAATTTTTTAAAGAAGCAAGACACTAAAATATATAGGAGCAATAATCAGTTTTCAGGGATTCAGTAACTTTGATTTGTAACAATCATGAAGTATAATCTAATAAGGAACATACTACTATTTGGGGCTGAAAATTGAATGTTTTAAATTTGTACCTTTTAAATGGCATGTTTATACAACTTATTCTTTTAAAAATATTTTATTATTTTGTGTATGAGTGAGTGTATTGCCTGGATGTAGCTAAGTGCACCTGTGTCGTGCAATGCTTGCAGAGGTCAGCAGAGGGCATCAGATCGCCTTGGAACTGGAGTTACAAACAGTTGTTAGCCAACATGTGGGTACTGGGAATCAAACCCAGGTCCTCTGCAAGAGCAGCCAGTGTTCTTAACTGCTGACCCATCTCTCTGGCCCTCACAAAATTTACCCTTCTTTTTTCTTTTATATATATACATGAGTGCTATGCCTTCATGTATGTAAGTGCACCCGTGTTGTGCGATGCCTGAGGAAAACAGAATAGGGCACCAGATCTCTTGCAACTGCAGTTATGGACAGTTGTTACCCACTACGAGTATGCTGGGGTTTGAACCTGGGTCTTCTATAAGAGCAGATCATTCCAGAGCCCCAAAATTTACTTTTTTAAAGTAAAAATTGTATTTACTTAGAAGTGTTCAGAATGTCAACAAAACAGCTACATTTTTTTTCACTTACAGAGTGGTGTTCAGGTAACAGAACAATTATTTTTGTATAAGCTGCAAAAGAGACAACCGAAGAAGAAAAAAAGACTGTCCGTAGAACTAACCTGCGCTGTGCACGAACAACAACCTGCGTTAAATTCCCACGCCAGTTTACAGCCCTTGTACTGCAGCAGGCAAGGTTAGAGGCGATGAAAATACCATTATGACAGGACAGGGCTATCTGAAGACACATTCGGTGGTATGTTAACTATACAAAAAAAAAAGACACTGTACAGTTTAAAAACAAATCTTACCCAGCCTTACATTTCGATTTTTTTTCTTTAAAAGGAGTGAGTTGTGTACGGGGGAGGGGGGTGTTTAAATGATTTATAGACAAAAAAAAAAAAAAAACTGTGCTAGAACAAACTTATTCATCATCTTCTTCATCCTCCTCTTCCTTCTTTTTCTTGCTTTTTTCAGCCTTGACAGCCCCCTTTTTTGCAACATCAGGTTTTCCTTTAGCTCTGCGGGCAGCAGTATCCTTTCTGTTTCTCCTTCAGCTCAGCGGCCAGCGGTGCTGCTCCACATCCCTCCCTGTTTCTTTGAGACATCCCCAGTAGATAAACCTGGACGCTCTCCTTTGATTTGGGGCGATACTCAGAACAGAAGAAGAGAGCTGAAGGAGGCCTCTCGGGTGCGTTGGGATCTTTGAGTGTCTTTTGTGTTTCCCCTTTGGGAGGGATGTAGGTTGTCAGCCTCTGCCATGTGTTCAAACGTTCCCTTTTCTTTAGCAGACACGGTCTTCCACCTCTCCAAGCACTTCTTAGAAAAACTCTGAGAAGCTGATGGAAGCACCAGGGTGCTGCTTCTTGTGCTCCTCTGGCAAGTTTGCGCAAAGCATGCATATGATACTTTGCCTCACAGCTTCTTAGGATCTTCTTTGCCCATGTTTAGTTGTTTTCCCTCAGTGAGGCAGAGAGTCGCCCCGTGCCCATCCAACTCTTATGTGCCCCAGTGCTGTCTGTAGGGACCTCAATGTACTGCAATGGCCATGAAAGCGGGAGCCAGACACCCCAATTTATTCTTAATAACAAAATAAAAGATGTGAAAATAGGGGGGCTGGAGTGATGGGTCAACAGTTTAGAGCAATGGCTGCTCTTGCAGAGGAACCAGAACCCATATTACAGCTGAGAGCCGTCTGAAACTCCAGTTCCAGGGGATCTGATGCCCTCTTCTGGCCCCTGCATGACATGGGTGCACTTACATACATGCAGGCAGAACACTCATACACAAAATTAGTGAGAAAATAGTCTTTAAACATGCAAAATTGGTCTGAAGAGATGACTCAGCAATTAATGGGCTTACTGCTCTTGCAGAGGACCTGGTTCTTTTTCCAGCACCCACATGACAGCTGAGAACCACCTGTAATTCCAGAATATCTGACTCTTTTTTTAAAAAATTTCTGAGTGTTCCTGCCATCACATAGTGCACCTACATATACTTGAGTATACACATAACACATAAATTAAAAAATAAAACGAACAGATTTTATCCTAAAAATCTCCACTCATATTTTCTTGTTCCCACTGACACATTTTTGAAACTTCAGCCTGCCAATCAAAAAGTTTAACTGAGTACTCCAGAGACCTTCTCCCACTGGATCGGACCAGGAATGCTGTTTTTAATGCAACTTTTATTATCGTTCTTGAGACATTTGTCGCTGTCCAGTCACTCTTGAGATGCCACAGATCCAGTTCATCTCTATCACCCACATCTGAGAGAAGTCAGAAGAGAGTATGGCTCACCTGCTTCTCCCTACAGATGGAGCCACATTGGGTCACACAAGGTTAGCTTTCCTTTCCTTCATATCGTTCAGTCAGGATCAAATCTGACTTTTAAATGCATTTTTAAGTTCTTGGATTGAAATTCTACATGTGAAATTTCTAACAGTTTAAAATACTAAAAAGTGCTGGTAAACTTCTTCATAGTTGTACATATAGCAAATGGTATACTCTATAACTGTCGCCCATAATTCATCCTGACTGCTGAATTTCCCCAGTTCCTTCGGTTGTTCTGTTTGATGTTTGTTGTTCCCCAGCTGCAGTTTCCCTAGTGTCCTGCTGGGAATTAGAGGAGCGCCTCCTGCAAAGTTTTCTTAGAATTGCTAACACTGGGGATAAAGTCACAACAGAGAGAATTACTCCAGTTTCATGAAGACAGAAGAAAACTAATCACTGTTCTGAGCATAAACATTTGAAGTCATTTCTTGCTCCCAAGTACAGTCATCC